TCAGGATTTATGTTTTCTTGTTGTTTATTCATTTTTTTTTATTTTCCTTTTTTTTCTCCTGTAATAAGTGTCATCGCTGCTGTAACATCTAGCTTTCCCCACTGAGGAACAATAAAGGGATTTTCTATTCTATTCATCTATCTGCAGCCTTTCCACTTCCTGTTTACTGTAGGTTAAATCTTTTCTCACGGGCCAACAACAAAATAAAAATAAAATTTTATCTTAAATGAAAATGCAACATCTCACCTGTTAACTTTCATGTTTTAGAGCAGAAAAAGAGCATAAAACCAAAATATTTAAAGCTCAGTTTGCTCCACTGATTTTCTGTGACGCTCACCTGTTCCAGCCACATACCTGCATCATGGGGTTGAGGAGCTCTCAGCTGAGGAGGAGACTCCTGTTGTTTTCTTCATCTTCATCATAATAATGACAACATTAGATGACAACAGGTGCTCACATAGGTTTGTGCTGGTGAACATGGAGAGCGTCTGAGCAGCTTGACCACGTTGTTGTGTGTCGGGGAGGAAAAATAAAAACTACAGCAGCCACAGAGTCATGCTGATTTGAGCTTGTCGCTGCTCGCTGGAGTTATATCAGCTCTGTCTGGAAGTTAGTTGGAAAGCTTTCTCTTTCAGTTGTGAACACATTACTAAACGGTTAAAATCTCCGTTTCTGGGCTTCAACGTCGGCAATTAGCTGAGTAAACTCGGCGCTGAGTGAGAGGAGTGTTTAGTTTGTCCGAGACAGTGGAGCTACAGACACCGGAAGCAGACGCTGGAAAAAACACAAAGGAGGGAGCGCTTCGGCTCCGCGCTAACACCGCAAAGCATCATGGGAGTTGTAGTCTTTGCGGTAAAATCGGCCAGCGGGTCAGTTATAATATATTTTTGATATTTATCTCGCGGGCCACATAAAAATGCTCTGCGGGCCAGATGTGGCCCCTGGGCCTTGTGTCTGACACGTGCTCTACACCAAGTGGGTTGCCCGTCATTCAGCACCACCAATCCATTGTTCTCCAAAATTGCCCCTAAAACCTTGCCATTCCCATCCGTTCGACGGCCGCCCCACATCCCACTATGAGCATTCAAATTTCCCATCCACAAGACGAAGGATGCCCCTTCCACTAAACTCTGCAACTTTACACTCTCCAATTTCTCCCCAGGATTATAAAACTTAACCACCACCTGCACCATCCCCCTAACTGTCCAAATGCAAACTCACACACATTTGACATCCGGCAACTGTTCTCGTCTGCGATATTGCAGCCCCTCCCTAAGAAACGTCTATCCCACCTCTCGCACACATAACCCGTCAATCTAAAATCCAACCCCGGCTGCAACCATGTTTCCTGGACACAAATAACATCTGGCAGAACACCAAAACCCTCAAATACAAATTAAACTCCTTGCCATTAGCTATAAGACTCCTAGTGTTCTACTGGAGGACCCTAAAAGCCATCACCAGGTATTAACCCTCCCCCCAAACCCCATCCATGTCCACCTCAGCACCAAGCATCAAGGGCAAGTCCGGAACCCTCACAGCCCAATAACCCCCCCCCCCCCCCCCCCCCCCCAAATAAAGTAGGTGGCGTCCCAAACAGCCTTGGGGTTTCTCCCCATGAACCCGAGGGATGACTCGGCCTTAGCCGTCACCTCACGAACCACATTAGATTTACTTGCAACCCTCGATTTCAACCTCCACAAAGCCTCCAAAGTAAACGCCAAAAACACATTTTGATCTTCCACCACCACACCACCACCCCTGAGAACCCTGCCCCCACCCTGGCTGCAGCCACATCCCGGTCACCAGGGTCACAGATGTCAAAGCAGCCAACGCCCTTCACCCTATGCACTGCCTCTGCATAGGACATCCACTGTCCCACCTGATACTCCTCCCCCACCACTGCCTCCCTATAGGACGCACAACCGCAGAAAGTTGCCTGATGACCCACACCACAATTAGGGCACAGGAGAGCCTCCTCACACTTGCGACCACCATGTCCACCCCACACATCTTACTCTTCTCCTGCGCAATGCACACTCTTGCCACATGACCAAAATGTTGGAAACGAAAGCACGGCAGGAGAGCCCTCTTAAAAGCCCTAACCGGATAACTCCCCCATCCCAACAAAACAGTTCGCCCTCTCTAAACATCAGCAGCAAGGCGGGCAACCCACGATCATTGACACCCAAATGCCTCGCGGCTGCCTCCTTTTGATTCCTGCAACAAATTGTCCACCGCAATATTATACACTACCCCATAACCGCAGTACCTCTTTGAGGCACATACACTTTGACCTCAACCCCCATAAACTGCCTAAACTTAAGCGCCTTGGCCAGTTGTGCCTCTGAGCGGCACACCACCAAACCACCCCAGACAACACAGTAGCATCCGCCACCTCACCCATCTTCTCCTTCAACTCCCAGGACAACTTAAGTGGGCTGGAGGCAACAAACCCACCGCCCGACACCTCTTGAAAACAGACAGCCAGGTCCCCCGGACCAGATCCATCTGTCTTCCTCTGCTTAGCTGAACCATCTACCCTAGGCCTTTCAGCGATGAGTCGCTCCTAACTCGGCAATCTCTCTTTGACAGACTCTCACCCTCAACCACTGACGCCGCCGACCCAGCCACGCCGGTCGTGCATAAGGCAAAGCGAATTAGAAAATAACTATTTTAGCTCTGTTGACTGGCATTCATTTTTTTCATTCTTCCAGGGACCCTTGAGGCGACCGGAAAGAGAAGAGACTTAGGATCCCAATGCACAGTGCTTTGATTTGGACTTTTATTTTCTCATTCATCTGTGGTTTTTGTACTTCATACTTTTCTGGGATTTCAGTCTAATCAGAGCAAGATAAAAAGAACACTTGGTTTTTAGATCTTTGAACTTCTTGAATTATGATTTTAAATATAAGTATTTCATTAACCCTCTCAGGCTCAAAATAAGTTTTACTAAAAGGACAAACAACTAAGTCCTTCAGGGGTACTTCTGAGTTAAAAAAGGCTCATGAAATATGTATGTGGCGTAACCAGGTAGGTAGATTTTAACAGTTGCAAATCTGCAACGCCTGCCTCCAGAGGGTTAACTGAAATAAAAGACTTGGTTATATATGACTGAATGGGGAAAAAAGCTGAAAAAATGAATGATTGGTGAACTCCCTGATGATAAAATAAAAGTGTATGAATGGGATGTTCTGCAGTGGAATGGACAGCAGCAGGTCAGACAGGGTGACGCTCTCCTGCTGACTGTGATTTGAGGGTACAGAGAGGGAAACTCAAGCCTTTATATCACTCCGAGTGCTGAAATAACAAATGAGCAGCAGCAGAGAGATGACCCTGACATAGGACAGATCTGGTTTTAAAGCTACTTCACTGTGTTAAATTTGTGGTAATTTGTCTTTCTGTATATGCTTCATTTACCAGAAATGAACAGAAGACATTCCACCTTATAGATGAATCAATTTGAAAATGCCTTTATGATATAGAGTGTTTGTAGTGAGAACAAACAGAAGTGAATAAATAAAGGTTATCGCTGTGATAAGAGCACTGACATCACTGTTTACATCACAGACAACTGATCTGAAAGTACAGCACCAGCACGTTTTCTCCAAGTTGCTCCACAAAAGATCTCTGACTGTTCAGCTGTTGCTTGAGGCTTTTTATCCCCCTCCTGTTGATTAAGAGCAACACATTCAGCCGCCAGCTCAGGTTTAGCAGTCTGCCTGCTGTCAGCTAAATAAAACATGAAGCCTCTATTTCAGTTCTCTCCAACACCAATGAAGCCAGATCTGTTCCTGCTGTTTACTGGGCTCTGGTCTGTTTAGTTATCGTTTAAAAGACAAATCTGAATGTGATAACCTTCCATAATAATCATATCAAGATTTATAACAATCATTTTCTTCTGACAACAAGGAAACAAGTTAAATAATGACCCATTTTGGGAGTGGCTTTAAAAATAACATTTATGTATTGATGTTTTCTCACATTGCTTATGGAAATTCTAACAGTTTGACCCAGAAATTTAAAGACAGAATTTTCTGCCATGTTGTAAATATTTTTTTATAAGATGTTGACACTTATATCTACCACTGAACAGTTTGTGGAAATTTGATTGATGTTTTTTGTTTTCAGAATTTTAAAACATGTGTTTAGCTATAGGCTAATTCTTTCATTAAAATAAAATTAAAAAAAAAACATGGAAAAACATGAATCCTAATTTTATTACCAAGAGCAATTCACTAACCTAAAATATGCTTAAAAATTTTAAATAAACGTCAGTGTAAAATTATCCAAAAATAGGTGGGGTTTTTTAGCCCAAATGTCCAAAATGTAGTCTATAAAACACCTGCATTAGGCCATGGGCTAGAATAATTTATGAACAATTTTAACCCCCTACAATTCGACCTGATCCCAACAAAGCCTAATTTAAAATGTCTTTTCTATTTAAACCCAACATCCACCTAAATATATTGACTAAGATGAAATCCTCTCAAGGTTAGTAAAAAATTACCAGCATTAGAACAGACATTGTGGAAAAGCTTGACACCAATCTGGGCAAAGCCTTTAACAATAACGAGGAAGCAATGACTGATTCACCTATTTTGCTCGTAGATGATAACTTTCTTCTTATCGTGGTATCTTGTGCTGGTTATTTACAGACAGTATGACGCCATTATAAATCACATCAGCCAGGATAACAGTGACTTTCATGCCCCAAATGTGATATCTGTGCTTCTGTATCATTTTAAAGTCCATTTGTTTTTTTTCTGGCTCCTGCTGACCAGATAATCATAGCTAATTTTAGCAATCTCAGTAATTTTAAGAACACAATGCTAATGCTAATGCTAACTCCTTTAGCTTCGAGGTTTCACTAGCATCATTCTTGTTTTAAGAACAGTTTAGCTTTCATCTGTGTTACGATGATACAATATGGAATTTATCCCATAAGAAGAATATGTATTATTTAAATGTGTCAGACTCAAATGTTTCCTCGGAGAGAGTGCTTTGGGGTTCAAACGAAGATGCTTTTTGTACACCTTTTGCTAATCGAAACCTGGCTTGCGCGCTTCGTCTGACATTACGGTAGGTCTTCAGGTGAAGGGAGAGGTTGAAGGTGCGGCCCGGGGGAATGGGTGGAGCTTCGGGAGGGACCGCAGGAGCGGCCTTTGCCGAGTTTCTTCATAAGTCAGCCGGCATAGGTACCGAAATGACAAGAAGAGGACAGCAGCAATAAGGTGAGTTTATGCATGAGTAGTTTAATGTGTGTGTTAGCTCTGGATGAATATGAAGCACAGTTTTAAAGAATGAGTTTTGTTTTGTTTGGAATTCTTTTTACTTTTATTTAGTATTTTACAATTAGATTTCTATAAAAACAACAAAAACATTCATTTAAACGTTTCATTACTGGTTTTAGTTAACTTTTAATGTTTTATCTCTGAAACTCTAGCCTATAAACTTATTGTGCTCCCAAATCAAACAAAATAAAGTAGAATAGAATAGAATAGACTTTATTAATCCCGCAGAGGAGGAATTCACTCGTCACAGCAGCACATACACTTAAGAGAAAAATAAAAATAATAACAAGAATAGTAAACACTCAAAGGCAATAAGCTATTATTGTAACCTTCAACCACTAAAAACAACAAATTAAATGATAATACATTAAAAAAATACAAGGTTAAATTTAATATTGCATGTGACTGTGTCTTTTTTTATCAAAAGAAGTTGAAGATGATTTTTTTCAAACGAGCAATAATCCCTTTTCCTGTCCACCAGGATTTCTATGGAGGTGTGCAGTCCCAACATGAGTGAGAGTGGGGCTTCCCTGTTCCAGGTGAAGCAGCTCCCCTGCCACACCGTGCCCAGTCTCCGCCTGCAGGCTGGTGGACACTACACACACAACCTCCCCTCTTCCAGCTGCAAGCCACGGATGAGCGACCCATCTCTAGCTGTGGCCTCCTCTGTCGTACGCCACAGGGGGAGTGGAGCCACAACAGGTACCTGCAGCAGCCCAGAGTGTGCAGCCTCCAGGCTGGTGGAGGAGGTGGCAGAGGCTCAGGGCACCTGCAAGGGGAAAGTGGTGGTGACAGGAGGAGGGGGATACTTTGGCTTCAGTCTGGGGAAAGAACTGGCCAGTGAAGGAATGTCTGTGATCTTTCTGGACTTGAACAAGCCTCTCTCAGAGATTCCTGATGGGACAGTCTTCTATCAGGTACCAAAGAGGTTGCTTGCTTGTTGCATTTCCCAAGTCTCTCTCTCTCTCAAACACAAGGGTGCAGATCACACTTTACATCTAATTATAAATATGCTAACAGAAACAATTTTCCATCGTCGTTTTGTAGCTTTTTTTAACTAGTTTGTGCGAAGGCATACAATTCCATGAAAACATAAATATTGTATAGGCTCAATACTTTTCCAATTACCATCTCAGAAACAAAAAACATGCTAGTTTTTTTATTCTTTTAAGGCATTTTTGCATTGTGAGGCTATAAATAGTTAGCGTTTCTCCTCTAATTCTGGTGGATCTGTGCAGCTGTGAGCATGAGCTCTAGTGTTTCTGCATACGTCAGAGTGTCTGTGTCTCTGGAAAGAGACACAGGTGAGTGATCTGTGCCAGGGTAGCAGCTGCTGGCTCAATTAAAGAGGGTGGAGATGTGTGTCGTGTTTCACCTGCACACCCATCCATCCATTATCTGAACCCGCTTTGTCCACGTAGGGTCGTAGGGGGGGCTGGTGCCTATCTCCAGCGGTCAATGGGCAATCAGGCGGGGTGCACCCTGGACAGAGAGTCAGTCCATAGCAGGGCAACACAGAGACGCACAGGACAAACAATCATGCACACACACACTCACACCTAAGGACAATTTAGACAGACCAATTAACCTAACAGTCATGTTTTTGGACTTTGGGAGGAAGCCGGAGCACCCGGAGAGAACCTACGCATGCACAGGGAGAACATGCAAACTCCATGCAGAAAGATCCCAGGCCGGGAAGCGAACTCAGGACCTTCTTGTTGCAGCCCAACTGCACACCTCATAGCATATTTTAGGTCTATATTTCCTGCCCCTTTGTCGAAAATGCTTTAACTACATCAGTTCACCATATTATCTGAATTGCCTCATTTGTCTTGTTTCTTTTCTGTTTTTTCTTCACAGAGTGACATTCGGGATTATTCTTCTCTCTATAAAATTTGTGAAGGAGTCGATTGCATTTTCCACACAGCCTCGTATGGCATGTCCGGACCAGAACAGGTGACTTTCCATCTTTTTTAAAATTCGTCACATTCGCCACTGACAGCTGACTGACAAGCCTCTGACTTGTTAACCAATTATCCTCTCTCTAAAAGTCTTCCAACCTGTGAGACTGGGTGTTTATTCCAGCAGCCGCTAATGTAAATTCCTACAATCTTTGCATAGTACGGTCTCTAAATGAGCTCACAGATTAGAACAACCTGCTCGCATTAAACCTTCAGGGGGTTATTTTTTGTAATAAAGCCAATACAGAGCTTTTTTGTTTACATAAAATGTTGACTTTAGGTTTAAAAATATATAAACTAAGATTACTTTCCTGATTTAAAGTGCTTTCTAGACACTTGCTGTAAGTATGTCCCCTTAAGATCCCATTATGATTTGAGCTGCTGAGTGAGATAGTTGTGATAAACATCTTCGGTACGTTCTTTCTGTGTTTGGTTTCTAATTCCATTTTTGGTTCTTTTTTAAAACGCAGGAAAGGTTTCTCTTTACCTTGCTGACAGTTTCGTTTGCGGCTGCAAACATCCTCAGAGCTGACGCTGATGGTGGCGTCACTTCCTACTCCGTTTATCCGCGGGCAGCGGACAAACAAAGGACAAACAGAGGACATTGTTGCCCTCTGCTGCCCGCTCTCCCCTCTCAAAAAAAAAAGAGCAACAATGAAAAAAACACAACATAAACACACCAACAAAACCATACACAACAGTTAGAAACAGACTAGTGCACCCAAAAGACAAGATACCAGCTGGACTTAAATGTGGAGTCATTTACAAAATCCCATGCAAACTCTGCAATTAAACATACATAGGAGAAACCGGACGCCAACTCAACAAACGAACAATAGAACATAGAAAGGAGTGTGAGAAAGAAACAAGTCGAAGACACACAAGAGCAGCAAAAGAAGAAGCAGAAAGTACAATAAAGAAGTCAGCCGTAACAGATCACTGCACAAGAGAAAACATAAAATGGACTGGGACAACACAAGGATCATAAACACCGAACAACAGAAATACAAAAGATAGATAAAAGAAGCAATCGAGATAAGGAGACGTGGATGTGGGACCATGAACAGAGACGATGGAGTTTACACATTGGATCGCGCATGGGACTGCATCATCAGAGAGGGGAGAGCGGGCAGCAGAGGGCGACAACGTCCTCTGCTGCCCGCGGATAAACGGAGTAGGAAGTGATGCCACCATCAGCGTCAGCTCTGAGGAAGCTTGCAGATGCAAACGAAACTGTCAGCAAGGTAAAGAGAAACCTTTCCTGTGTTTATAAAAAGAACCAAAAATGGAATTAGTTGTGATAAAACCTGAGCTTGTTTCTGATTAGATAATGATTTCGACACAACTTCTAGCAAACCTCTTTAAAATAAAATTTAAACCATAAAAACTGCAACAATCATCCCATTAGTTTTTTACTAATTCATTCATTCATCCAACTTAATTTTAAGTTTACATTCACAGATTGTGCTTAGGGAATGTCTGTTTACAGATGAGATAAAATAAGTAAATTCTAAATTGTGCACCTTTAAATAAATAAAACCCAATTTACTAAAGACAAGATTTCAATCTTACTGTACTGAAAAATTAATTATTTTTCTAAGCAAGCATATATTTATCACCATAACTGAGTTTTCTCCTTGCATGGAGTTAATTTTTTATTAAAAAAAAAGGGTTGTTTGAATATTATAATGTGGAATTCTTCATTATTTTCTTTTAGATACCTCATAATTAACCAGATTAAATTGACCGATAAATAAAAGTGTATGTAGAAAGTTTATAATTTTAATATCTACAGCATGTGTTCTGCATGGCAAGCTAATTCAGTCTCAAGAATTTTTAAAAATATTTTCCTTAATTTTCCAGTTTAGGCCATCTTTTTTCCTCAAAACTGCACAACGGCACCAGACAAGGAATATTAGTAAATATCTGCTTTTGTGAACAGACACGGGTCTTTCCCTGAGAAGCACCTTAAAAACCATGAAAATTCTAATTCCACTTGAAGAAATTTTAAATATTCAATTTTTTAGTAACATTTTTGACCTTGCTCACTCCTCTTATAAACCAAATGATCTGTTTTATGTAACTTATGCAAAAGTTGTTTTAACTTAAAAATTTGGCCTTAAGATTAATCCTCCACATAAAAAAAGGAAAACATTGCAGATCTGTGATCCTAATTTAGATAACCTAACTTTAACATATATTCAGTTCACACATTTTTATAATTCCAGCCGTAAAAGTATAAATCTCTTTGTTTTGCACTATGAAGAAGTTAAGCGAGCCAAACATACCTCACAGACGGGTGAGTAGTCATGGCCGTCATCCAGTTAGACGGGATACTTCTTATTATGTCATAAATGTGTCAGATATTTTTGGAGCTCAACCTTAGTGAGATCGATGGTAAACATTTCTCTTGTTTCTGACTTTCAGCTGAAGAAGGAGCAAGTGGAGTCGGTCAATGTTGGAGGGACCAGTAATGTCATAAATGGTAAGAACTCCTGCAGCATCACAGATCACGGAGCTTATCGAATTCTAGGAGCACCTGTGTATATCTGAGTTAATGCACGCATCTGTCTGTGTAAATAATGATAATCATGCTTCAAAGGGATTTTTAGAACTTTTAAAGTGTGTTTCTGTACAAAAGTCATGAATATTTACTAAGATAGATTCCCAATGAGCCTCAGTTAAAGGTGGAGTGTGAGACATTGGAAATGCACGCGTTAGACTCTCAGCTCTGCCAGGACTTGTTACATTCACAGACACTTCCTCCATCGCCTAAACGTTTCCCAGCAAGAACAAAACCAGATTCTTAACAGAACTTTTACAATAACTAAATGAAATTTGCAAACACAAACAGAACAGAACATTCAATTCGTTACACTTGGCGGTCTGGCTCTAGCTTCAATTCCTGGCCTGCTGCTCTGAGCTAATAACACACAATTCGTGCACGTATAACGGTCTGCGCAGACAGGGCTGAGGCGGTCAGAGAGCAGGAAGATGGATGGATTATCAACGGAATGGAACATTCGGCCCATTATACTTGGCAGCCTGGCTGTTCAGTTTTTTATATAGTGCCAAATCACAACATGGGTCATCTCGAGGCACTTTATGAAGTAAACATTCCAACTGAACTTATATTTCAGTGCACCAGCTTCAGTTCATTATACCAGTTAGTTGTTTCCTATGTAAGGAAACCCAGCAGGTTGCATCGAGTCACTGACTTGTGTCAGTGACTCGATGCAATCCCACACTAAGTAAGCATGTAGCGACAGTGGAGAGGAAAACTCCCCTTTAACAGGAACAGAGCCTGGATCAGTATGAGCAACCGTCTGCCATGGTCAGGGGTCGGCAACCCGCGGCTCTGGAGCCGCATGCGGCTCTTTCATCCATCTGATGCGGCTCCCTAGACTCTGCTTGTTAACTAATTAAGGAATATTTAATTACAATGTATTTTATTCATGTTTTCATCTGTAGCCAATTCTAAATTTAAAGATTGTCTGCGTAAACGTGAACAGGTCACCTGCTTGTGTGTGAACAAATGTCTCTAGCTTTCTGAGCTGAAGAGGAGATTCTGGACTGTTCCTCAGACAGGCTCATGGATGCGTCGCAGTGTTGGAGACAGGAACAAGCGCTATTCAGCCAAAGATTCGTAATCGGGGAACATTTTTTAAGTGACAAGTCTCTGAGAGACCGGGTTTAGAACACACAGAATCTTCCTACATGGTTCTGGTTCTGTGATGCGCTCCAAGCCCCAGATCTATCTTCAGCTCGCTGTTCACGTTACGCGCGCGCTGACAGAGAGCTGCGCTGAGCTCAGTGTCCATCTCAGATGTTCTGTTGGGAATCTTTTCCTGATTGATGTAGCTACCTCCACGATGCGCGTTAAAATGTCAGCGCATCTGCAGGCTTGAGATTTCTCCGTCAAAATAAATACGGGAAACATCGGGTCAGTGCGAACCCTGTCATTTAACCATTTTACCTTCTAGTGAAGATTGTTGCAAACAGAAACATCAAACCTGATGAACACCAGAGCCACGCACACTGCACCGTTTTCTACGTCAGTGTAAACGAGGGAAAAAAAACGAATTGCCTTTTCTTACCTTGTCAACAATGTTTAATGCAAAGTTTAGTTCAGTACAAAGTTGAATTACAACAGTCCAACGAGACAGAGCCTGGATTTGTATTCTGAACAGTTATGTGTGATGCCTCAAGAAGCGTCACCTGCTCAACTATTAAAACCACTAGCAGGGTGAAAAAAATCAAAATTTGTAGCACAGACGGGCTACAACATTTGGATCAATTTCAAACAAACTGTTTTATTAATTATCTTCTGTTGAAAGATAACTTTGAGGTACATGAGCAACTGGTATTGGTTGCTGTCTCCTGTTGTGATCGGTTAAAGCAGCTTGTTGCTGTCAGAGGGTAGGCCCCGCCCACAAGGCTGCGGCTCCTGCGGCTCCCAGTGTTTTCTGTACTGTGGGAAATGGGTAATAATGGCTCTTTGATGGGGAAAGGTTGCGACCCCTGACCATGACCAACCGGGGGTTTGATAAGACAGAGCAGACACATCTCCCCTCCTTCTCACATGTTGGTCAACTAGGTATGAGGGGAATTATGGAATGCTTTAAAGGGGATAAGACAAACTTTGAAGTGAATATGTTGCTGGAGGATAGGGCCAAAATGGTGAATTATGGGAGTTTTGATTTGGTGCTGCAGAGCTCTGAACTTTTAAGGTGGACCAATCAGAAGGTATTGGTGAGGCGGCAAGACTATAAATGAGTATAGAAGCAGAGTGGGGGGAGAGAGAGGGTTTTTCTGCTCCATTAAAACATCTCAGACCCAACATACAAGGGAAATGGTTTTTAAATCCTATAGGACACACACACACACACACACACACACACACACACACACACACACACACACACACACACACACACACACACACACACACACACACACACACACACGAGACTTGACTCATATCCAACGTGGATTGCTATCATTTTTTTCTGCCGCTGCTGATTTTTATGCAAAAAAAGAAAATATCGCAGTATAAGTGTTTATAAGACCGTGTTGGAACAGTCTGGTCTTGACTTTGCTCACACTAGCCGTTGTTTCATCAGTTCTGTTAAAAGTAAACTAATTGTCTCACAGATGCTACTCAGGAAACTACAACAGGTTAGATAATAAGTATGTATCACTTTTACACAGGAATACTCTTCATAATGTCCATAATATCCTTTTGGAGTCTGAAGAACTAATTTGGTGTTGTAACAAGTCATGTGATCTCCTCCCATTCAGTGTGTAAAGAGAGAGGTATCCCCAGGCTGGTGTACACCAGCACCATCAACGTTGTGTTTGGGGGGAGGCCGATCGTGGAAGGGGATGAGGCTTCAGTGCCATATGTGCCTTATGATTTGGTGAGCACTAATGAAGCAGACTTGAATCTCACTCATTTTCCAACATTGAGACAAAAAGTGAAGGTTTCTTTTTGTTGCAGCACATCGACCACTACTCTAGAACTAAAGCGGTAGCAGAGCAGATGGTCCTCTTGGCCAACGGATCCTCCCTGAAAGGTGCGAATACATCAGTGACAGCACAGGTTGCATTTAGATAATCCAATCTATTTTTTTAACTGATTTCTGTAAAGAAAAATGGTGCTAGGAAAATATAAAAAGGTTGCCATAGAAACTGAGCAAGCCATCAAGTAGGTGCAACAGTAAAGGTCATTTAAATTTAGAGTCACACATGGAGCAGCAATGCGCTGATGCTACTGTTTCAGACTCCATATTCTAATGAGGTGTATGTTCCAAAATGCACTTGAAGCGTCTGATTCCTCCTCTTTAGTGAAACTCAACACGCTATCTGCTGTTCATCAGCCCATACATTTAATTAAGCGTAAAGCATGAAGGTGTCTCATTATATACTGCAGGATAAAGGTTGTGTATCTGCTATCAGAGGAAGGATTTTCCACTGCTCTGTCTTAAAAACACAAGATGCCCCTGCAGCAGTGGGATCATTAAGATCCTACACACACACACACACACACACACACACACGTGTGTGTGTGTGTGTGTATATATATATATATATATATATATATATATATATATATATATATATGAGGGATGCTTGATATTGGCTTTTTTACTGATATCCAATTTGCCGATATTGTCTGCCTTTTACTTTCCAAAACTGATATATGCTGTGTTCCCCGCTCATTAAAAAAGAAAAACTAAAATATTTTAGGTTACATATATGCTTACATCTTAAACATTTTCTGTGCAAAATATCAACTACTTCAATTTAAATTAGTTGTAGGAAAATGGCCATATTTATGTAGCAGTTGAATCTCATTCTCAGTGTGACTCTAAGATATGTGTATTAGTTAGCAATGTCTTTTTCTATGTTTCTGTATGTTGCAATTACAGCGATAAAACATTTATAAAGATCTTCGAATAACAAAAGCAGGCCTTGGATAAAGATTCTTGTTTTTGTTTTGTTTGTTAGCTGGCTAGCTACAAAGCTAATGGCTGTGAGGATTGCGTACGTTCACTACACGGGGCAAATTTCTTCTTCACAAGTTGTGCTAAAAATAAACTAAAATATCTATAAAACTACCTCAGATCTGTCATATTTTACATTTTCAGAGAGAGGAGAATTAGCCAAAGACTTATATGCATAATGTGTCATGTTTTGGTGAGGATCCAAAGCAGCTGAGGAAGTTTGAAGTCACGTATTGTAGAATCAGATCAGCAACAGGGAACAACAGGAGCTAACAGACGAGACAACTCAAACCATGAGACACACGGGGCTTAAATACAAGAGGGTACGGGTGATCAGGGAAACGAGAGGCAGGTGGGACCATTAAAGAACTAATCAAGAGAAACAAGACACTAGTGAACAGGGGCTGGAGAGCATATCATAACATGTGTATGGTATATGAAAGTCGTGTCATCCAAGGCTGAAAACTGATAGTGATATCATCCACTACAAAAGCTTAATGTTGATGTTGGGCGATAATAACGGTGAACCGATACTAAGCCAGCACTTCTAAAGGACGATGTTTAAATATAGAACTTTTAGTTTTTGTTGCCTGCTTTTACAAACAGAGTGGCTTTCACCATTTTAAAGATGACATCTCCCAGAGCTGCTGAAGCTGAAAGTGCAGCACTACTTCTAGTGGTCACTGGTGGCTGTTTAATCTCTAGAAAAAATAATTCCTCTCTGTGTTTACGGCCACAGATGGAGGCGTGCTGAGGACCTGCGTTCTGCGGCCGTGTGGTATTTATGGACCTGAGGAGAAGAGGCATTTTCAGAGAGTGATAGTGAGCAAACTGTTTTATTAAAAATGTTTTCCTTCTTTTTAATGTCAACGCTAGAAAAAATGTGCATCTTTCCATATCTGTGGGCTGGCTGGCAGAATGGGTTCCTGCCTGATGAGTTTACATTATTAATGAAGCTCCGCAGGCATCCAGTTACAGTGTTGCAGCTGCCTCTACCAGGCTTCAGCCTGGCAAAGGGTTTAATCTTTACCTTTATTTTCCAATATAGAGTGAATCTGTCCTTAAGTATTCTATTAAAACAATGTTTAAATAAACATAATAGTTATTTGAAAAATTTGTACATTTCCACTGATATTAACCCTCAGGAAGCCAAACCTTTTTGAAAACAGATTGGAATAAATACATCAAATTGTATAAAAAAATAAAATAAAGAAGTGAAATAATTATTGATATATGTATGAATAGAATGTCACTAGGGATTGTCAAACTTGAATGTACGACTCAAGAAGCATTTTTGCAGACGCTTGAGATGGGCTGTGACACCAGTGTCGCCACAGGTCCTTAAGGGTTAAAACTGAAATTTGATTTGAAAAAAAAATACTGCAATGAATCATACAAAAATAATGTTTATAACAAAATGTTGATTCAAAATTACTTCCTGTCTTCACTGTTTACACTTGAAAAGCCAAAAATATAAAACAGTGACAGAAAAATGGTTATTTTTAAATTGCCTGCTTTGGGTTCTATACCCCCCCCCCCAAGGCATTTTACACAACAATTAGTCATTCACCCATTCACACGCTGGTGGTGATGGGCTACGATGTAGCCACAGCTGCCCTGGGGCACACTGATGGATGCGAGGCTGCTGATCTCTGGCACCACCAGTCCCTCCGACCACCACCATCAGCGTGGGTTAGGTGTCTCGCCCAAGGACACAACAGCGGCATTCTCTGTCGGAAGCTGGGATCGAACCTGCAACCTTCCAATTGTTGGACAACCTCCTGAGCTACTGCTGTCCTATGCAGCAATCAAATTTTATTAATGTAAAGCACACATTTCAAAGTTTTTCCCTGTCTTGATGGATTTTTATGCTAGTATGTTAAACACATGAAATACTACACGAGCTTCAACATGAGAATCTATTGCTAAACTAACCACAAACCTTCTGTTTTTTGTCCTAATGTTCAGAAAAATGTGGAGCGCCGCCTGTTAATCTTCAGGTTCGGTGACCCCAAAGCCAGGATGAACTGGGTCCATGTAGATAACCTGGTTTTGGCTCACAAGCTTGCTGCTGAAGCACTCACACCGAAGAGGAGCTGTGTTGCTGTGAGAAAACAGCTGAATGATGGTGTTCATCTCCGCCACAGTTCTATCGAGTGTTAAATGTGTTGTCTTCTGCAGAGTGGACAGGCTTATTTTATTAATGATGGAGTTTCCGTCAATCTGTTCGAGTGGATGACTCCTTTGGTGAGTTTCAATCTGCAGATGTGTGTGTTTTTTTGCTAGAGAAGATAAAGGCGAATGGAAGTTTTGTTTTCTTTGTAGACATTATTGAGAATGATCATTCCTCTAACACGGATATTGATTTGATTGTCACGTCAGAAAGTGTGGGTCTTGATGTGTGTGCTTGTGATTATTTAAGGTGGCAGTGTGTAGTTTCCAGGGGGCAGAACATACATTTCAGAGTAGTTTTACACCATATCAACGTGACTATTGCTAGTTTAGAAAAACATCATACGGTAAATGTTATTACCTGTGGTGCAGAAAGCATGCAACCTCGGCATGACTCCTCAGACTCTGATGGTCCTTCAGTTAATTCCATCAAGAGAACGCAATGCCGAATTTAGTTTTCTGGTACCGTAGTTAAAGGTGTTATACCAAATTCTGCGACCCATCACATTTTGTGACTCTAGGGGGCAGTGTTGAGTTCTGTTGAGTCTGCACACCCCAAATTGGCATAAAAGAAGACGATACATCCTACGTTAAAACCATGAGCTACATAAACTGACTTTGAGGAAGCTGCGGCGCAGACCATGGATATTAAATAAAGTGTTTAATGTTTATTGCAGACAAACGTGACATCAAATGCAGCTATAAGCAGGGCTTTGACAAGAAATGTTTGCTAATGTTAAAAAGTGATTGTAAAACATGCGACGGCCACAGTCTGAGATAGCTGCTACCACATTCTGTGACCCTAAAAATCTTTATCACAGACTGTGGCCATTGCTGCATTTTATGTCACATTTGTCTGTAATAAACATAAAGCACATTATTTAATATCTATGGTCTGCGCCGCACAGCTTCCTCAAAGTCAGTTTACCTACCTTATGGTTTGAATGTAGCATCTTCTTCTTTTATGCCATTGTGGGGTGTACAGACACAACAGAACTCAACACTGCTTCCTAGAATCACAAAATGTGATGGGTCGCAAAATGTAGTGCAACACTGGATCTGTTCGGGGTCCTGCTCCTGCCGATGACATCATCATACTACGGCAATACCGCTCTGCCAAAATTAATTGCCTCTCTTTTTCGATTCTGTTCGCACATGTTTTGGAAATAGTTTAGCAGTTTTGCTATTATATTCATGTTTCTTTGTGCCTGAATGTTTTCGAATGTAACTTCTGTAAATCGCACATCCAACCAGTCATCTTGTGTGACGTCATCGACAGGCGCAGGACACTGATCCGGCCAGAAGGAAACTTGGCGTCTAATATGGCGTCCCCCAAAGCCGCTTAACCCACACCCTATGTACTTTAGACCCGATTTTAATGGTTATATGTTACAAAGCCGCCAGTATTTTTCAACGAGTGGACAACATTTTAGTCATTTTCAACATTTCGATGGATATTTCCTAGGGCTGCTTAATAATGGCAAAAATGATAATCGTGATTATGTAGACTGAAATTAAGATCTAGATGATCTGAGATGATTTTTAAATAATGTTGATTTTATTTATTAGTTTATTTATTCATTCTGCGAAAAAATTGCACAGGACACAATCAGGACAAAAAGAAATCAGAAAAAGACAATCACAAAAACAACTCCTGATTCCTAGTATAAAAAGGCCTTTACACTTGCTCATAGTTTATGACTCAAAGGCTGAAATTTAACTTATTTAAGCATATCCGATACACACCCAAATACCCAACCAATATCTTGCAAATACTGACAGCAAGAATTATTCAGTGCATTCATAATGTAATGAAAAGTAGTGTGGTCAAAGTCAAGTACCAAATTCTGCCCTTACAATAATATTAAAAAATAAAAAAACATATAAACATCTATGATTTAGTGACGTTGACAAATGTTGCGTAATAATTATTCAGTCCTGTCCAGCGATGCTGTAGGGGTATGTAGCAACGTGAGACTGGAGGACTTTGTTTTTGCTCATAGAAATAAATTATTTTTCAGCATGAGGAACTTATTTCTATTTCTAACTTATTTCTAAACTATTTATTTACAGATCCCACCAGTTAATGTAAAAATTGTCCCAGCCACAGCGATCAGAGACATGCTGCATCCCCCCCACCCACCAACCCAGTCTCAAGGCAATCAGGGGCAAGCTGCGTATGTGTTTAGCGCGACACACATGCACATTTTGCCATTTTTTAGCGGCTCAGGAGCCTGCAGGTACATTGTGTCACTCACTCTGGCTAATGCAAGAGGGAGCTGGCTCTTAGAGCCGTTTCTTTCACAACCGGCACATCACTAAGTCATTCCCTTTCTTAATGCCCAGAAGAGGGCTCTGGAGTGAGTGTTTTGCTAACCTGCAGGAAATATCGACGAAGTTAACCAGAAGACGACAGTTAACCAGAAAGTAGCTAAGGGTTACCAGAAATGTTTCAAGGTTGTTTTAGGTACTTTTAGGATTTAAAAAGTCAAGCAGAGGGTCTAAAAAGCTCTTAGAAATAGTGACAAAGTTGCTAAATTAGCAACATTGTTGGAGGAGCGCTTGATTTGCAACTTGGAGCAGCAAATAAACGGCTCGTTTTGTTTTTATAATCGTTCAAAACTCAAATCGTAATTGTGATTAAAATTAGATTAATGGAGCAGCCCTGATATTTGCAGAGATTCATGGGAAAAACCACATACTGTCACTTTAAAATTTGTAATGTGTGGAAAATGTTTTTGAGGGAAAGCCAGTGGAAGCAGCCGGATAACTGCTTCACTGATCCTGGTGAAGATTTGGGGCTCAGCAGCACATAAAGAAACATCTGCCAGTTTTTTCCAGGAGGGTATTCCAGAAAGCCTCAGCAATCATCCAGACCGAGCAATAATTATTCATTCATGCCTACGAGAACTACAAAGATATCAGAACTAAAATGGAGACCATGAGCTGTTTGAATAAAGCTGTGTAGCCGGTGTTGGTACAGGATCTGCTCGGGTGCAAGATCGGCTCGGGGTCCGTCGACTGCCGATGACGTCTAAGTAGTTGATTGGCTGAACATAAACCTCACGGAATTACGTAACCACGTTACGTTATCACGTTACGTTGGTCCAGGCAAATCTTTCTATTGGAAAGATGGACAACTTTTACAAAGAAATCCATCATTACCTCTTTGAAAATACACTTTTAGCATAGAGCTGCATGTATATTAGGGCTGAACGATTAACTGCATGTGCAATTAAATTGCGATGTGACAAAAGGAGATTTTCTAATCTCAAAGGCTGCAATTTGGCAGCGAGTGGTTAGCGCAATGCTAATATACATGGAAAAACCCATAGGAATGCTAATGCTAATATCGCCGATTACATTATTACAAATTATGAATTAGAAACGTGCCAAATGATTACATTTGGAGTCTAATAGAAAGTAAAAATACCATCAATCAAATAAGTACAGACAGGTATTTTAGTAAAGCCAGAAAACTTTTAACTCCAGAGTTTTAGCTAGCAGCTATGAGCGTAACTGAACTACTCATGGACAAGACGCCAAAAACTCTAAACACAAAATACTTAAATAAACGGGACACACTTCTTTCCTGCAAATACAATTTCACAGGTGTTGCTAATACCTATGATTCTTCAAGGGATGTGCTCAAAGAGGAGTTCAACATTATGAATAAAATAGTGTTTTATTTTACAAATACCATTATAAACACAAACTTACATCTTAAGAAACATTATTTTAATAACGAAACTGCTAAATTCTTTCCAACAGTATAGATGTGTAGTGTATTTTGTCCGAGTGGGTTTGCCGTACTTTGACGTCATCGGCAGTCGAAGGACCCCGAGCCGATCTTGCACCCGAGCAGATACTGTACCGACATCGGCGCTATTTGTTAGCGGCGTATATTTATGTCGATGGTTAGAACACACAGAATTTGCATGTTTCCATGGCAATGCCAGAAGTCTGTTTCAGCTCGTTTCTCCAGATATTTTATTCAACTTTTCATCATTTATGCGTCGTTTTCAAGTTTGGTTCCAGAGTCTGGATGTTTTAGACTGGAGGACTTTGTTTTTGCAGAGCAGCTGCGAGTTGTAATTATATACGTTCGTGGTGGTCACGTGACCCTGAAGTTAAATCTGTAAACCGTTTAGTACTCATATTACACAACGTGGAAAAAACATCACGTATGTCATTTAAATCAAATATTATGGTGTTTGCCACGTGTGACCAGAGTAAATATATAGTCACATCAGTAAAGTATTCCTATAATTATGCTGACATCAGGAGCAACGTTAGTGGACTGTAACCCTCCTGGCTGCAAATGAAGATCATATACAAAAATGTTAAGATGTAAATCCAATTGCAACTCAAGTATTAAAGTTTAAACTCCACATTTATTAATTATTTAGCCATCAAGAACAAAGCTGCAGCTGCTGCTATCCCGCTGTGGGCCAGTGGTGTCGCTAATTCACCACCTCGTAGCTGCCAGCCACCGACATTAAAAAGGTGACGTCACTTTGCTTCGTCTAATCATATTCACAAAAGTGTCAGTAAGCCTAGCTGCTAGCCTGCCATGGGGCAGGTTTGCTCTCCAGCAAGTGTTACCATGGTGACTGGGAGGGCTTTCGGGCTAGCCACCTTTGTAGAACTCTCACAAGAAAGCCTGGTTTTGGGAAAATCTCGCTTTCTGGAATACCCCCCTACTCTTTTGCTTGGCAGACAAGGAGAATGTTATCAGCTCTGTGATTGGTTGTGGACGGTTCAGCTGTAAATCAATGTGAGGTCCAACTCAAATGATATTAAATGAATAAATCATGTTCCTCTCAGTGTAATCATAAATGCATGACAAGCTCTGCCCACTGCACTGCTGACCAATTGGAAGCCAGACACTGCCTTTTATTGTGAATTTTATTAACTTTCACCTTTCCTGACAGTTTGAGAAGCTCGGCTACACCAGACCATCAATAACTCTACCTGTCCCACTCGTCTATTCAACAGGTAGACACCCCCACCCCCCACTCCCGCGCGCCACCACATTCGCTGATTATTATTTGATTTGTTGAGTAAATTAATTTGATGATGATGATTTGACTGTTCTGTATTGCAGCCATCATGGTGGAGTATTTACACCTGATCCTGAGACCAGTGATAAAAGTGCCTCTCCTTTTTACCAGAAGTGAGGTAACCATCCAGCTTTTTGTTTCTTTGAAAACACTTCTCTTCCCTTTTGGGTTTGTGCATTCCGGAAAAGCTGGAATGAAACAGGAAACAAGGAATAGATCAGAGAGAATTCTTGAACACTTCTGTCTTGACATCACAAAGCTTGTTTTTCTTGTAACGTATATTTTTGCAGAGACTTTCCTTCAGACTTCAGGAATAATGCATCTCAGTGTATTTAAAAGAGACTTCCTGCTGATAATTCACACGCAGCAGGTGCAAATAACCTTTAGCTATTTAATTAAATTCAAGTTTATTTATACAGCGCCAAATGACGACAAGAGTCGTCTCAAGGCACTTCACATAATAAACATTCCAATACAGGTCAGTTCATTAAGCCAATCAGTAAAAAGTTTCCTATATAAGGAACCCAGCAAATTGCATCAAGTCACTGACTAGTGTCAGAGTCTTTACAGCAATCCTCATACTAAGCAAGCATGCAGTGACAGTGGAGAGGAAAACTCCCTTTTAACAGGAAGAAACCTCCAGAGGATCCTGGCTCAGTATAAGCAGCCATCCACTATGAGTCACTGGGGATCAAGAAGACAGAGCAGACACACACACACACACACACACACACACACACACACACACACACGCACGCACACACACACACACACACTCACACACACACTAACGCACGCACACACACACACACACACACACACACACACACACACACACGCACGCACGCACGCACACACACACACACACACACATATCAAGTAGTGTTTCTATGGCTACATTGTGATTTCTCAGTAAATATTCTATTTAGTGAGACATAAACTTTATTGTATTTATCCTAGTGAATCTATAATTAAATGGGTAAACTAGTAGTAGCACATTCAATGTCAAACAGAGTAAAATGTTATTATCAGGAGAGGGAGAATGTTTGTGGTTAGCAACAGTGTTCAAGCCGATGGCCCCCTTCATGAGGCTACCACAGCTCAGCAGAACATCACTGTAGCTTTTTCTGGGGAGAAAAACACTTAGAGAAAAAATAAAGTTAACAGCTGAAATAGCAGGAAATAATACAGTTAAAGAGCAAATTGTAGAAGAAAGTAGTAGAGTGTGGAAAGTGGTCAGTATGTCCTCCAGCAGTCTAGGCCTATAGCAGCATAACTACAGAGATAACTCTGGATAACCTAGCCTTTTAAATGGAGGCATGTTGGAGGCAGGTTAAGGGAGAGCCTTCTTTATCAACTGTACACTCCACCTCCCTCTACTCCCCCACTTGTCCAGATCTAGGCTAACATCAGATTTTAACCATAGGCCCTATCACATAAAAATGTTGTAAGCCTAGTCTTAAAAGTAGACAAGGTGTCTGCCTCACGGACTTAAGCTGGGAGC